GGGAGGCTGAGTGGAGGTTGTCAGTTTGTCGTTCGCAGCACCTGTAGTCCGGGGCGCTGTCCCGGTAGCCCAGTCGTAGCCAGCTGTGCCAGCCGCCCGTGGGTCCGTTGCCCGTCCGCCGCTATTTGAGCCGCGGGGCCTGTTACTCCTGTAGTCCGGGCGCTGTCCGGTAGCCGCTGTGCCAGTGTGCCTCCTGTTGCCCGTGTGCCTGCAGCTTCAGCCGTCGCCTCCTATCTCCTCTCCCCTCACTCTCTCTCCTCCTCCTCACTTGCCCGTTGTGACTACCACTAGCTCTGCTCATAATTGTGAACTCTAAACTATCTCTTCTTGAACTTGTGCTCAGAATGTGTGGTGACATTGTGATCCACCCTGAGCTTGTACTACTTTGCCTGCTCTGCTGATTACACCCCACTTTGGCTATGGGGGTGTGTCAGAGTATTATCTTATTGTTCTGGCCTGTAGTGGGGTGCTCTATAGCGAGTACAACCCTTCTAGGGTTTGCTATTTGTATCCCCATTTCTGCTAGTTCAATCCTCTTTCTTCTTCTAATTTTGTCAAGGAGCACATGGATGCAGCTAAGAGGGTGTTGCGCTACTTGTGCAGTACGTCAGGCATGGGGCTAGTGCTTGGAGGGCGTGAGCGGCCTGTTCTGACTGGGCACTCAGACGCTTCTTGGGCTGACGACCAGGCTACTCAGAGGTCGTCTCAGGGTTACACCTTCAGGCTTGGCTCTGGCTCTGTCTCTTGGCGCTCTACTCGCTCTTCTTCGGTTCTCAGCTCCAGCTGTGAGGCTGAGATCTACGCCACGGCCATGGCTGCCTAGGAGCTTCGCTGGCTCACCTACCTGTTGACTGACCTTGGAGAGCGGCCTCGTTCTCCTCCAGTGCTGTACGTCGACAACAAGGCAACCATTGCCTTGTGTGAGGAGCACAGACTGGAGCACAGGACGAAGCACATTGCTCTGCGCTACTTCCTTGCTTGAGAGCTGCAGCAGCGTGGTCAGCTTCGCCTGCGTTTCGTGGCCACTGAGGCCAACACTGCTGATGTGTTCACCAAGGCACTTCCGCCTCGTGACCATCAGCGCTTTTGCACTCTGCTAGGCCTTGTGCCCACTGGGCCTCACTTGCTTACCTCTTGACCTTGCTTGTACTGCTGCATATATATATATATCCTTGCTCTTGCTTGTTTAGCACTGTTATATATATATGCTCTGCTGCATGTGAACTGGCCTTGTGGCCTTGACCTTGTGCTCGGAATTTGTGTGGTATCCTTGAGATCCACCCTGAGCTTGCTTTGCTTTGCTTTGCTTTGCTTGACTGGTCTTGTGACCCCTTGCTCTCCCCCACTTTGCCTATGGGGGTGTGTCAGATGATTATATTACTGATGCATATATTTAGGCTGTAGTGGAGTAGCCCATAGGGGGTACAACCCAATTAGGGTTGGTACTTGTACTTGTTTCATTTCATAGTGCACCCATTCTCTCTCTCTAATCTCAACAGGAACGTGCGTCACTGTGGGCGACAATTTCGAAGCAACTGTTGAAGAAAAAGTCGGTTGGGGAACTCGCCAGGCGCAAATGGAGTTTTGCGTCCGAAAATATCGGTGGACGAGGAGAGACGACACGCGAATTGCCCGAAGTGTGCGGGGTCAACTGTCGTCCTGCCCGACCTGAAGTGCAGCGGCTTTTACTGCATGGCGGGCGCGTCATCGAAGATTTCGGCAGGAGCGCACGTGGACAGACGGGAACTTCAAACCCGCCGACACTTACGGGTTGCAACAGAAAACGGAGCGGCTAAATCGCACTCAGGAGGAGTGGGACGCAGGCAGCGAGGGCAATTCGGGCCCATACACCCCGAAGAACACTCGGATGACGCTGCGTGCCTGGTACTGTTGACTGCTGGCCGGCAATTTCGAGAGTGGATTCCCTGTAAGGAAGTCATTTTCGGGGACAACCTCAACAGCCCACGATTAAACGGTGTTCAAGGTACCATGCCGACAATTACGGAGGAGAGTGGTACAGGCCGCCGGGACACACGAGAAGAAACTACTCGACGGCTAAGCGGGGGTTGAAGAACGGCGTGAAGGGCAGGTTAAAAGCCGGTGTGAACGATCTGTGACCTTCCGTCGCCCGAACCTCACCATCCCCACCAAGTTTCTAGTTCTGACTCATGCAGTCAACTTGCTTGGCCGAATACGGGGGTGAACACGGGCCTACCCTGTGCTGGTTAAAGGTAACTGGATTGGTGCTCGCTCGACAGCTGTACAGGAAAAAAACAAAAAAAGGTGGAGTTGCGGCACTGTTCTATTCCGACAAAAGCGGACTGGGTGAAACAGCACGTGAAAAAATCGGGGCGCCGCAAGGACAACAATGGTGCAGTTCGCTGGTTTCTCCTGACCCGGGAGTCTACACGAGGTGACGACGCAGTGGCGAGCGGGGACCGGGATGCTGTGGAGTTTAGTGGCGTGACGGTCGCGGTGGGCTGCAAAACGGTTGGGCGACAGTTCCTTTTAAATAAGGGTCCCCGACTCCGATGGTTTTTGCCCCTCCACCGTAGCTGGGCTCGCGCGGGCAACACCGACTATACCCCATCCGAAAAATGCGGACGCTGGGTGAACGGCGGGAAGCGGAATTGTCGGGGGGTGAAACGACCAAAAAATTATGAAGCTGCGGGTATTTCTTCGCTTCTTGGAGTGCGGGTTGAGTCGTTGGGGGACTTCGCCTGAAGGGCACTTTTCGAAGTTGCCTGGCAAGAAACACAACGGCAAGGATACCTAGGACCCCCGGTGTTTAAACGCACACCTCGGGAAATTCTTCAGATTAGAGGGAGTGTGGGAGCAGTCGTAGCTTCGGGAACAGATCGACCGGCGACGAGCGATGCGGTGAAACATCTGCAAAGCGCTGGTGGGAGAAACGTGGGTTTTGGTTAAACAGCATCGGCGGAAACAGTTTTCGACTACGAAGTCAACGGCGTTGATGCCACTAGGTTCCGTGAAATTCGGTCTCGGAATAACCCAGGGCAGTCCCCGGTTCTCGATTGAACCCACATGCTGGGGTCGGGTAGCCGACGGAAACTGATGGTGACCGAGTGGGCGGCTATAGCACGTCCGAGATTTTCGGAGGCGAACTGCAACTGCCACTGCGGATTTACGGGGTCTGATTCGAGCGACAATTTCGGAGTGTTTACGTGGAGACTTACAGGTTTTAAGGCAAGGAGCGCCGACAACTTCGGAGGAGCATTCGGCGTTTGGTTAAACGCGCGCGAAATGGACGTTGGGAAATAACGCGTGAACTACACGGAGTTTTCAAGGGGTACGAACGACTTACGACGAACTGAAGAAGGCAGCATCAACAGTGAAGGGGTGGGAGAAACAGCTGCATTTTTTCATCCCTGCCCAGGAGCCCTCGGCGCACTACGACAAATGGCTCGGCGAGTCTGGACAAAACCGCTGGAGGTGCTGACATCATCTGACCCTAGATCGTGCTCGACATCAATTTTGGAGTGACATTCGATTTCGGTTACTGCTTCAACGAATTTCGCCGACGCTCGTATTTGACTTTACGACGAATCGCCTTCACCGACGACAATTTCGTACCATCCCCGACTTCACGGCCAGAGGATTTCGGGATACAGCCGCTCCAACTCTACTAGCGACAAATCCATCCACTTCGACCCGCCCACGACAACTGCATGAATTCTCAACCACGTCAGGAGCTGCCAGCTGCAACTGCTGAAGATACTGCATGATTCTGGCTTGTGACGACAAAAAAAGGCTCAGTTCGAGCAACGCATAATTTCTGCCGCGGTTTCTGGTCTACTTACGCGGGTTCGCCCTTGAAGACTTTTTGGGGCACGTACTACCCGGTTCCGCAATCGACTTTCCACACCGACGAGTCTTCACCTGGCTTTCTACGCTCGACGTTCGGTTCAGTGGGACTTAACACCTGGATTTTTGTTGGTTTTCATCTCGGCGCAGCAGTGAAACATTTTCTGGTGTGTTTTCTTGGAGGGGGGGAGAAAGTGCTTTGCACTATTTCTTTCCTCGGCGTTTTCTCGGCTCAATTTCTGACTTTGTCAAAATGCAGCAGCACGACGGACGACTGCGATCGCTGCTTCACGATCAACGGTTTCTGCAACATCGCGATTGAATTTTGCGTCAGCAGGTTCCCTCCAATCTCGCGTCAGTCTTTGACCGTCAGATCCACATCTGCTTCATCGATGGCCTACATTCCAACCTTTTCAAAAATATTTGTCGAAGGCATTTCGGCCGTCGGATTCAGCTGAAGGGGAGATCTACGGCATCCTTGCTAGTGTGGGGTCCGTTTTCAGTACAGGACTGGCTTATTTAGAAGGTGGGAGAGTGTAAGGATTTACAAATCCTTACTGAGGCACGTTTTAGCGAGGCCATCCCGAGGGTCACGCGACGAACCTGTCCTTCCTATTTCGTCGCACCGAACCACTCCCGAGTCGGCCTCCGCTCCAATCGCAACCATCACCGAGCCATCCTCGCCCAACCTCTCCGCCTAGCTAGGACTTCCCCTATTTAGTCGTACCTTTCTCATTGATTCAGTCAATATTCGTTTTACTGCGCACTCTGCAAGTTCATTCATAACAGATGGCATCCGCCCGGTTCGTTTCTTCGTTTCGGTCCGTGTCAAGAACGAAAGCACTGAATGGGAGCTGATTGCGAACAACGCAGTGTACAGCATGCCTCTAAACGCGTACGTGTAGGATGCAGAGAAGTCAATATTCAGCAACCATTTTCCAGACGATGAATTGTCAGCGGAAACCATCAATCCATTCGCTGCGCTGTGATGTCGGGCGCCCTTGCGTATCGCATCATACAAAACCGTATAACATCCATATGACTCGAGGCCTGTCTTAAAAATAGAATCACAGCGACATGCGGTTCACGGTCGCCGTGGTTCCCGTTTCGACACCTTATCCTTCCCATCCGAACCTACCCGATCTGCTTGCAGCAACGCCACGTCAGCTCCCAACATGTCCTCTGCGCCATATCACCCACTCGCCTCCTTCTCATCTCGCGACTCCGCTCCCGTTAATCCACCCCAGCCGTTAGTTCGTGAGTTATACGGTGTAGGCCGCGGTCCTGGTTCAGGTTCGGCTCGCGCCCTGTCCTCCGGGCCAGGCTCGGAATCTGCCTCGGCACAACAACCCGTAGGTTTGGCAACACAAGGAGCTCACCTCGCGGGAGGATCTCCTGGTTTGGCGACGCGGGGGATCGCTGGAAGCGCCAAGACTGGTTCTGGCACGGTTTCCGTCGCAGATAACGGCGGCGATGACGTGGAACGATGGAGGGAGGCTGTTCAGGGGCTTCGCGACGCGGAGATCTTGGTGGGAGCGCTGGAGCAGCTGCTGCTAGGACCAGATACGTTGTTTCTAGACGCCAACGCGATGCGATCGGCTCGGAGTGTGTACGACGGGCAACGGCAGCTGCATGTGAGAGACTCGCGGAATGACTCGCTTCGGCCGACTCGCTTTTGCGTTGAATATAGAAAGTGTCACTGGGTCGTTCCGTTTACCCCACCTTAGCCGTTCTCCGATATTAGATCTCCGCCCGCCCCAAAAGCGCTGGATCGGCGCGCGGGGGGCCTGGACGACCTTGGAGTCGACTCGAGCGTTCCCCTTCCCCCTCCCCTCCTCCCCCTACTCCCCACGCCCCCCCTCTCCCACCAACCCCACAGGCGCTGAACCGGCGCGTGGCGGGGCTGCAGGGGGAGCTGGACGCGGCGGTGGAGGCGGCGAGGGAGGCGCGCGCAGGCAGGCGGGAGAGCGAGGAGGAGCGGCGGCGCATGCAGGACGCACTGGCACAGGCGCAAAGAGACATGGAGGCCACCTCAGGTGGGGGCGCGGTGGGGGAGAGGCGGGGGAGAGGGGAAAGGGGGGCGAAGGAAAGGAGGGGAGTGTAGTGTTATGGAGTGGAGTGGTGGAGTGAGGTACAGGGCAGACGAGCACAGGAGAACATCCTACTGGCACCATACATGCTACTTTCTATTGTTGCTTCTGTTCCCAGTCACCCCTCTACCACCGTCCTCCCCTTCTCCCCGACTCGCAGGTGCGTTTGACCTGTGTGCACACATGAGCTCCACTCCATGTGTGCGTTGTGTCTTGGAAGCAACCTTTGGCTCAACTCATATACGTCTGTCTCACCTCCATCAACCCCATACCCCTCCTCCCCACCGCACAGGTGTGTTTGATTTGTACACAAGTGAGCTGCGGGGCCGGCAGCAGCAGCTGGAGCGAGCAGAGGAGGAGGTGCGGCACCTGCAAGCACGCCTCCGCGCCGCTCCCGCCCACCCCTCCACCTCCGCCCACTCCTCCCCCCAGTCCGCCTCCCACTCCTCCGCCTCTGCCACTTCCTCTATCTCTTACTCCTCGGCTTACGGCTCTGTTCACTCCTCGGCATATGCCTCTGCTGCATCGTCTGTATATGGCTCGGCTATAGACGTTCCGTCTCCTGCCCCGGCTCTTGCAACTGGAGCTGCCCGTGCCGCTCGTGCTGGTGCTGTGTCGGCATGGGTTGCCGGTGCTGCTGCTAGTGCTGGCGTGGCTTCTGCTGGTGCCAGTGGCAGCGGCAGTAACAGCGGCGGTGGCACTATCACTGGCAATCACAATGCTTCAGCTGAAACCACCACCATCACCAGTACCACTGACCATTCTGTGCCAGTCAGCTCCTCTCCCCTTGCGGTGCCCTCTCAGCCACACGCTTCAGTGCAAACCTTATTGGCAGAATCAGGGCAACAAGTGGCAGGTGAGGAGGAGAAGACAGGTGGGGCTGTTGAGGCGCTGGGAGGCAGGCAAGAGGAGCATGGGAGGGAACTGGGGAACGGCAGGGAGGAGGAAGGGCAGGAGATGGGGACTGTTGGAGTGAGTGGTGGCAACGGCAGTGAGAGGGTTGGTTCCCAGGAGGAAGGTACTGGTACCAGCAATACAGAAGGGGATGATGATGAATTTCTGGACTCTCTACAGTGATGTGCTGCTGTGACTGTGGTGTGTTTTTGGGAACTTAAGGTTTTGGACTCACCACCACCAGTGGCTGTTTCCTGTCATGGGGCAACCAAGGATAGGCATAGCATAAATCTGTGGGAACAACTTATATGTATTTTCATCACAATGGCAGCAGCTGCTGTGAGCCGGTTAGTTTAGTAGTGCAGCAACATGCGTGTCTCTGGTGGGTCTTTCTGTCCTCTCTAGCAAGCTGGATTCAAAGACGTTGTCCACGTTACTAAAATACCAATCCTGGAAAACTGTACTTTCACCACCATAAGCAAAGCAACTCTTGCAAGAGCAAGCAAAGGCAGTTTTTTGCTCCATTCCATTCCACCAACCTCAATGAAGCAATCTCATTATTGTTGGAAGCAATTGATTTAAGCGCCTCTGTCGTGTCGAAACACCAAGTCAGAAGCGAAGCGAAACATATCGATGCATCAGCGAGTCAACCCTCGGAGGTTGAACAACCGCTAGAGGTTACGCGAAAGTCAAAGGTCAGCGACCTTTGACCTGACAAGTACAGCGCGACAGCAAGGACACACAACTCACTCGCTATTGAGCAGTTGCCCGAGTCGTCACTGTATCGAACCGCAACAAGAAACAGCAAAACAGTTATTAGTTATGACTCTTCATATTCCCTTGTACTCTTATAAAAGCTTGTATCTCTTTGTTATTAATCAATCGACTTCGCCCTCACACACCAGCGCAAGGTGGTTCATAACTCTTCATTAAACGCTTCCGCTATTACATCAGTCCTACCAGGAGTTTAGTCCTGCAAAGATCCTAAGGGCTTTTTCAGCCCAACATGGTATGAGAGCAGTTAGGACAAATTCCACAATGAAGACCCCTACAACATCAGAAAGCATGGCTACTCAGAGGGAAAGGAGTTCCTCTAATGGTTCTCCCGGCACTACCCCTACTCCACCTCCTGCCTCTGGCCTACAGACAGAGCAGGGCACGGCGACAAGACCAGCAGCAGGGTCCACTGAAACTCAGCAGACTTCGACCAGAACATGATGGAGAAGTTCTTCTCCTTCATGTCCTTCTACGAGCAGCACCAGCAGTCGGCACCTGCGCAGTCAAACAACAGCAACAACAACAACAACGACGTGACGCCCATGAGCCTCGACGGCTCATCCTACGCACGCGGAGATCAACAGCAGCAGCCTACCTTTGCTGCATACGAGCCCCAGCGCGGCTCCGTCAGCTTTATGCCACAACCACAGCCTGCACCTGGACAAGAGAAGACACAAGACGCACTTCAAGTTCAGTCGCAGTTCGCGCACGTCTTAAAACTGCAAATGTTAAGGCCTTTCGGCGGAAAGGACTTCTTTACCTGGTCATTCGAGTTCGAGCTGATGATGGAAGGCACGCAGATCCTTGGCTTCTTCGACGGGTCCCTACCATACCCAACACACGGCACACAGTACGACAAGCAGCAGTACACGTATCAGTCAATGATGGCGTACACAATACTACTGAGAAACATCACTCCGAATCAGCAGCAGAAGATATGGTCTTACCGGGGATACGGCAACTTTGCAGAGCTCACGTACAACCACCTGAAGAACCTGTATCAAGCAACAGACAGCGTCAATCAAAGTCGGTTAATAGCGCAACTGACAACAGGCGAAATGAAACCGGGCGAAAAGGGGATGGCGTATATCAGCCGCTGTCGCGAACTGCGCGACAAACTCCTTCGATGCGGAGGGTCGATTTCAGGAGACGCCTTCGTCACAGTCATCATCGGCGGCCTCGGTCCTCAGTGGCGCTCCACTCGCGCCATACTCCGAGCTCACAGAAAAATATCAGAAGCAGCACTCTGCGCCGAGATCCACGCTAAGCAACAAGATATGGACCTGCAAGAAGAACGACACAAGAGTAAAGCATCAGTGCCCGAATTCGCATTCCACACTCAACGGCACTACAACAACAACAACAACCGGCATCAACCGAAACCAGTACCTCCGTTCTGTCACCTTTGCAAGACGTAAGGTCACCCCCGTACACACTGCCCAAACCTTCAGCACTCAATGCCAACGCAGCGGCCGCTTCGCCCTTCAAGCAGTCAAGTCGCCTCAACGCAAGCGAATCTGACCACTCAAGTACAAGCCTCAACAACATCGACGGGACAACCTGCGCAAGGAACAAGAAACATCGTCAGTTGCATGGCACGGTTGACTGACTCCTGCATCACAGAATCACCACTGCATTACTCACCGGAAGAGCAACTCGACAACAGCATGCCTCGCTGCGAGTCACTTCAACCAAATCCGACGTATGCAGCCATCGCTCAAAGCGAGCCGTCCGGGAAAGACACGTGGTTCTTGGACAGTTGCTGCGGACAGCACATGTGCTCTTCAGGACGCTTTGTTCAACGCGAACACCAACTTCAACGCGAGGTCGTCATCACCGTCGCCAACAATCAGAACCTGCGCACACGACGACAAGGCGTAGTGCAACTTCAGTCACGAGAGACAACCGTCATACTGGAAATGTCAAAGGTTTTAATAGCAGAAGGGCTCGGTTACAACTTATTGAGCGTTAGTCAACTAATGGCGAAGGGCATGCACCTCGAAGCATATAGCACCATTCAGGAGTTCAAGTTGTACCACGGAAGAGGAGGTCTTTACATTGGCAAGGCAGTCCTGAAGAACAACGTCTTCGTCCTCGACTTCGTCCCAGAAGGCTTCTGGTACTCGCACACCATTCCTGAGGCAGAACGAACAAGAGCGTTAGCAACAATTCAACAAACATCGGCAGCAGCAGAGACAACATCGGTAGCAGCAGAGACAGCATCGGCAACAGCAGAGACAACATCGGCAGCAGCAGAGACAACACCGGCAACAGCAGACACAACACCGGCAGCAGCAGAGACAACAACGGCAGCAGCAACGGCAACATCAACACCAATCGCTGGTCCTTCAACGGCACCGATCGACGTCACTTCACCAACTCCTGCGCAGCAAGTGAACCCAACTCAACGGGAATTCCATCGAAGCACCAAATTCACCGCCAGCTTTTACTCCAACTCTGACCTATATTGGCACTCACCCAAACATCGCGCCACCGAAGACATCTGGCACGCACGAATGGGACATCCAAGCAACACGGTGTTAAACAATACAATCAGAGCATGCGTGCTTGACAAAGATTCACTGCTCCTAACCGACGGAAGCGAACTTCGACGAGCTCACGGAACATGCTTTACCTGCCCCAAATATGACTTACCACATCGGCCGTTCGCTTCTCACCACAATCCCAGCGCACCTACTTATGCACCATTCGAGAAAGTGTACGGCGACATCTTGTACAACCGCGAACCTGGACAAGGAGCATACAGCTACACCATCACGTTCATCGATGCTGCTACGCGTTACGTTTGGCACCTCAACCTACGAGCAAAGACATGGCCTTCGAAGCCTTCCTCGCTTGGCTCCCAGTAGCAGAACGAGAATCGGGCGTGAAGTTAAAAAGCCTACTGTCAGACGGAGGAGGGGAATACACCTCATAGAGGTTCAAGGAGTACTTGGCAGAAAGAGGGATCAAGAGGCTCATCTCTCTTCCCTACGCTCACCAGCAGCAAGGCGTAGCAGAAAGGATGAACAGGACTCTCCAAAACACCATGTGCAAGCTGCTACAAGGCATGCGACCGCCCAACCACCAGTGGCCTGAAGCAATGGACCACGCTGTCATGCTGCACAACTTGCTCTCGTCATCATCGCTCCCGAACAACGCATCACCGCATCTGCTGTGGACAGGAAAACAGGGCAGCACAAAAATGTTATGAGTTTTTGGCTGCATGGTACAGTACCGACCCCCATCTGCACGAGCCGGCAGATTCTCCCAATGCGTACAGTGGGGACTACACTTGGGCATCGAAAGACATTATAACGCGTGGAAAATTTTCGACGTCCACTCCAAGGAAACAGTAGCAGCACGTGATGTCATTTTCTACGAACGACTCACTCTTCCGACGTACCTTGCCAACCTGGAAGAAGATCGGGACCCGACAGGTGGTTTCCGTGGTGACCGAGCCTTCGCCTCGGCAGCAGACGAAGCTGACTGGGACGAGCAGAACGTGGATGCAGCCTCGGAGGAAGCCGTACCTCTCCCTTACTGCTCCGTCGACGTCCCAATGGATGACGAAAATCCTCGCGACAACATCAACGCCGAAGTATTTTACCACTTCGCCGACAACGGTTACGTTACACTTGCAGAAGTCAACACCAACGAAGCAGAACGCATAGGGCCCAACTTCATACCAGACCCAGAAGCAGGTGACAAAGCAGCTTATCTCGCGGACACAACACTCCCCCGCTACACACAGAGTGGCCTCCAGATACTCGGCCTTGTCACCGCGGTCCACGGCACGGAGGTTCCTAAGGAGCCTGCCACAGTTCAGCAGGCTCTGGGGGGGGGAGCATAGGGAAAAATGGCGCGAAGCCATAGACAAGGAACTGAAAGCACTGGAAGAACGGAACACCTGGAAAGTTGTTCCCATCGGCGTGGCACGAAACAAGACAGTACTCACCGGGAAATGGGTCTTCCGTGAGAAGACAAAGGCAGACGGCACCGTCGACAAGTTTAAGGCGCGGTGGGTCGTACGCGGCTTCGACCAAGAGCACGGACGTGACTTCACCGAGACATTCGCTCCGGTCAGCTGACACACCTCACTGCGAATTCTCCTCGCGATCGCCGCCATGAAGAAGAAGAAACTACGGCAAATTGATGTCGCCAACGCATTTCTCTACGCACCTGTCGACGCAGAAATCTTCGTCAAACTACCATATGGTTCCAACGGAGAGCCTAACCAAGTCTGTCAGCTGCTGAAGTCGCTCTACGGTATCAAACAAGCCTCGAGGCTATGGCAACAGTACCTTCACGCAAGACTCATCCGCATAGGATTCCGCCAGCTACCTCACGACCAAGGGATGTACCGGCTTACAAAAGGCACCGATTACATCCTATTAATCGTCTAT